AGTAGGAGGGCATAGCGATCGCTATAAAACCCGAGGCGGGAGCCCGGTGGAGTAGTCGTCGGTGCGGATCTTAGTGGTAGTAGCAAATATTTAAATGAGAACTTTGAAGGTCGAAGAGGGGAAAAGTTCCATGTGAATGCCACTTGGACATGGGTTAGTCAATCCTAAGAGATGGGGGAAGCTCGTCCGATAGTGCATTCGCATGCGAGCTTCGAAAGGGAATCGAGTTAAAATTCCCGAACGGGGACGTGGCGGCCGACAACAACGTTAGGGAGTTTAGAGACGTCGATCGGGGCCTCGATAAGAGTTATCTTTTCTATTTAACAGCCAGCCCACCCCGGAAACGACTTAGTTAGAGGTAGTGTCCAGCGGCTGGAAGAGCACCGCACGTCGCATGGTGTCCGGTTTGCCCCCGGCGGCCCTTGAAAATCCGGAGGACCAAGTGCCTCCCATGCTCGATCATACTCATAACCGCATTAAGTCTCCAAGGTGAACGGCCTCCGGTCGATGGCACAATGTAGGAAAGGAAAGTCGGTAAAATGGATTCGTAACCTCGGGAAAAGGATTGGCTCGAGGGTTGGGCTCGGGGGCCTAGTCCCGAACCCGTCAGCTGTCGGTGGACTGCTCGAGCCGCTCCCGCAATGAGAGCAAGCCGTCGCGTTCCGGCCGGGGATAGACCGGGAACGGCCCCTTCGGGGGCCTTTCTTAGGCATCGAACAATTGACTCGGAACTAGTACGGACAAGGGGAATCCGACTCGTTTAATTAAAACAAAGCATTGCGATGGTCCTTGTGGATGCTCACGCAATGTGATTTCGCCCGATGCTCGAATGTCAAAGTGAAGAAATTCAACCAAGCTCGGGTAAACGACGGGAGTAACTAGGACTTTTGCGCGCATTGGCTATCCCAATGCGTCCAAGGAGGTTAGTAGCGAGCTTCGCCGGTGCGGATGGGGTGGTCGTCGAGCTCGGTTTCATCAAATTTCGCTTTTCAATTAGAAAATTCATCCCTTTCAAACAAAAACCTTCTCAATAATTGCAAAATGTTATTATTGTGCTCCCTCACATTTTTTGGATCGTTCCGACGTATTTTCTTTTTTTCTAATTTTTTACATTTTTAATGTTCAAAAAATAAAAAGCATACTTCCCATCCTTGAAAAATTCTGAAAATTTTCCAGAAGATAGATTGGATTTTTCCAAACTTGTGTACAAAATTTTACCTCAAAATTCAAAAAAATGAATTTTTTAGAAGGGGTGACGAGTGGGACCTAGTAGTGTCTACCCCTACCGTAGCCGAAATTCTACATATTGCTCTATAGGGGGTAGCCGCCTACTCGCCCATGGGCGCCGACCATGGGTCCTAGTGCGGGAGCATTGTTGGTGGTGTCTTGGCTCTTGTTCTTGGTGGGATTGCTCATGTGCTCGGGCTAGTGAATGTTTTCGTTCGTCGGTGACCCTCGAATTTTTTCTATGCAACCTTTTCATGGGTTTTTTGTGCCCGTGCTTTTACCAATTGGTGGGCCGGCAGCTATGGGTGTTTTATTTGTTTTCGATAAGCATGTGGTTGGTTTTTGTTGTTGCAATGGCAAGTTAAGAAGGTGGTCGGGTTGAAGCTGCCGGGATGTTGCGTCGGGCTTGGGAATTCTAACGAGAGATTTATGCAAGTGCTTGCGGGGCATTAAGTTGTTTTGCTTATGTCGACGTATGGGCTCCTCGCGGAATCCTTGAGCCTTTGTTGTGATGATATCTCCACGGCCGAGGCCCGGCCATCGGATTTTCGAGCCGAGTGGCAAATACGTGTATGCGAGTGGCCGGTCGATGCCCCGGTCGAACGTAGCGACGGGCTTGGGGATTCCAAGGAGAGCTTTACACTAGTGCTTGCATAGCATTACGTTGCTCGTGCTTATGGCAAAGCATGCACTCTCCTTGCAATCCCTCACCCTTAGTCGTGATCGTTCCCCGACGACCAAGACCTAAGCATCGGCATTTTGCATTGAGTGTCAAAGGAAGGTGTGCGGTGGTCGCTCCGTGCCAATCATGACGTAGCGATGGGCTTGGGGATTCCAACGAGAGCTTTAGGTCGGCGTTTGCATGGCATTGAGTTGCCGTGCTTGCGCCAATGCATGCACTTTTCATGCAATCCCCAAGCCTTTCGTTGCGATCATATCCTCACGACCAAGGCCTACGCATTGGCGTTTTGAGCCGAGTTACAAAGGTGGGTCCGCAAGTGGCTTATTCGACGCCGCTTGGGATGTATTAACCGGCTTAGGGATTCCAACAAGAGCTTTTATGCTAGCGCTTGCATGGCATTGAGTTGTTGTGCTTGTGCCGATGCATACGCTCTTCGCACAATGCCCAAGGCCTTCGTCGTGGTCATAGCTCGACGACCGAGGCTCGGGCATCGGCGTTTTGAGTGGAGTGGCAAAGGTGGGTTCACATGTGTCCGGTTCGATGCCGGCCAGCTGGGACATAGCGACGGGCTTGGGGATTCCAATGGGAGCTTAACGCAAGCGCTTGCATGGCATTAAGTTGTCGTGCTTGTGTCGACGCATGCGATCTCCTATGCAATCCCTTGGCTCGTGCCATGATCGTATCCCGACGGCCAAGGATTGGGCTTCGGCATCTTAGTCGTGGCGGGTGTCCCTTTTTTTGAATGTCTCCATCTCGTCCCTTCTAACTTTGCGGATCGTCCCTTTGAAATATTTCACATTTGGCGATGCGAGCTTTGATCTTGCTTGAATGTATCCATTTTGCTCTTTTGGGTCGTGGTTCGCTCTTTGGGATCGATGTCATGTGTACGTGGTGGTGCATGAGAGGTCATCGGGCCGTCCGTGTTGGCGAGCTCCGTGTTAGTGCACTAAACTATTGGCTTGCGGTCCTTGTCCTATCCGGCCTAAGAGCCCGTAGGGCCTCCGTGGTGATGAGGGCTTCCCGTATCGCGTACCCTCTGTGTTGGAATTATAATTTGACGTTGTCCTTCTCTCGTTTTGTGCCTACTCTAAGTGTGCGTGATGAATCTTTGCTACGGCGCTTGTGTTCCGGTCGATCGGACTTCCGTCGAATTAGCCCGCCTACGATCGCTCGTGCTTTCGGATGTAGAATTTGTTGCTCGTGTAGGGCTCTCCAGCCCTACAATAGCCCCATTCGAGTGATCTTTGCTCAATAAGAATGACCTCTACCCTCGACTTGTCCCCTCGTCTCTTTGACGTTGGGGATTATTCGAGTTGCGGTGTTACAAAGGAATGCTACTTGATTGATCCCGCCAGTAGTCATATGCTTGTCTCAAAGATTAAGCCATGCATGTGTAAGTATGAACTAATTCGGATCGTGAAACTGCAAATGGCTCATTAAATTAGTTATAGTTTGTTTGATAGTATTTGCTACTCGAATAACCATAGTAATTCTAGAGCTAATACGTGCAATAAAACCAACCTTCCGGAAGGGATGCATTTATTAGATAAAAGGTAGACGTGGGCTCGCCCGTTGCTACGATGATTCATGATAACTCGACGGATCGCACGGCCATCATGCCGGTGACACATCATTCAAATTTCTACCCTATCAACTTTCGATGGTAGGATAGAGGCCTACCATGGTGGTGACGGGTGATTGAGAATTAGGGTTCGATTCCAAAGAGGGAGCTTGAGAAACGACTACCACATCCAAGGAAGGCGAGTAGGCGTGCAAATTACCCAATCGTGACATAGGGAGGTAGTAACAATAAATAACAATATCGGGCTCTTCGAGTCTGGTAATTGGAATGAGTACAATCTAAATCCCTTAACGAGGATCCATTGGAGGGCAAGTCTAGTGCTAGCAGCCGCGGTAATTCCGGTTCCAATAGCGTACATTTAAGTTGTTGCGGTTAAAAAGCTCATAGTTGGACTTTAGGTTGGGTCGGCCGATCCGCCTCGGGTGTGCACCGGTCGCCTCGTCCCTTCTACCGGTGATGCGCTCCTAGCCTTAACCGGCTTGGTCATGCCTCCGTGCTCGTTACTTTGAAGAAATTAGAGTGCTCAAAGCAAGCCTACGCTCTATATACATGAGCATGGGATAACATCATAGGATTTCGATCCTATTGTGTTATCCTTCGGGATCGGACTAATGATTAACGGGGACGGTCGGGGGCATTCGTATTTCATAGTTAGAGGTGAAATTCTTGGATTTATGAATGACGAACAACAGCGAAAGCATTTGTAAAGGATGTTTTCATTAAACAAGAACAAAAGTTGGGGGCTCGAACATGATCGGATACCGTAGGCTTGCTTTATAGGATTGGTGGATGTTGCTTCTAGGACTCCGCCAGCACCTTATGAGAAATCAAAGTTTTTGGGTTCTTGGGGGAGTATGGTTGCAAGGCTGAAACTTAAAGGAATTGACGAAAGGGCACCACCGGGAGTGGAGCCTGCGGCTTAATTTGACTCAACACGGGGAAACTTACTAGGTCCGGACATAGTAAGGATTGACGGACCGAGAGCTCTTTTTTTTTTTTTTATTTAAAGGTAAGTATATAAATCAAAGGAAACCGAGTTGGAAAAATAACCAGCAAGAGTAGCATTTATAGGATGTACAAAAATTGGGAACGAGCTCCCAATGAAACAAAAAATGAGCTAGCCCTAGGTGGTTATTCAAGGAATCAAACAAGTTGTAGAGATTTCAAGAAAAACCGAGATAGGAACCATGTGCTAGCTAACTAGGACCATTTACATAGGCTCTCAAGCATACAAAAACTTTGTTGATTAAGCACTAAATGAAAACCAACAATGTATAAAAAATAGCCAACAATTTACGGAGGTATCTGCTAGCACAGCAGAAATAACAAGGACCAACAAAAGTAGCGAGCAGCAAGACGAGCGGAGAGGCTATGAAGTGGAGGGCTCGCCTATCCATAAAGCTAGACAAAGGAAGAGACCACATGACAAAATAGGGGAAACAAGAGCTAGCGGGAGCGAAGCGTCGAGCTAGGCGAGAGAACCAATGAGGAGTAGGATGGAGGCGATACCTAAGCCATGAGTAGGCCAACACAAAGGAGCACCCGAAGCAGCTGCCTAGCACAAGGCGGGAGCATGAGGAAGCACTCGCACGATTTGGGAGGGGAGATTAGTGCCACCAATAAATAAGGCCTGAACACATCGAGTAGACCTAGTTTGGTGAAGCCCAATCTAAGGTGGACCAACGAGCAAGTAGGCCATAAGGAGGCGGACACATCAAGTCGCCCAAGGCGAGGGCTAACCGGAGGCAAAACAAGCAGAGGCATAGTACCCAAATTCAAACCAACCGGAGAGCCTAAGAACTCAAAGACCGGACCAATGACAATACCAACCATACCCAACCAAAATAAAAGCCGAGCTTAGGGCACTCAGCCCAACAAGACCGAAGCCAAAGCCCACACAAACAAGCAAGTAGACCTACAACCGGACACCGAATGATATCTAAGCCATAAGCGTAAGCAAGACCAATCAACTCGACCAATCAGCGGTAGTCGCCAAGGAGCCGGCAGCGGTGAACCTCGATAGGACGAGACAGGCCCAAACAAAGGCGCAACCCCTAAACAGAACATAGCCTCGGAACAACAAACTCAAAACGGCCCGGGGGCTTGGAAAAGCGACCGGACACCTAAGAAGACCCGAACTCGGGGAACCAATCAGCAAGACTCGACCGTAAAGAACTCGTGCACTCATGTAGGAGATCGGGGCTCACCCACGGACAAGAGGAGGGGTCCGATTCATGCAAGTAGAATACCGTGTAGAAGATTATCTAGAATTTACGAGACACATTATCTACCGTGCTAGTTAAGGCATCAAAGGCATGCATGTTTCTCTCTTCCCGGATGACATAAACTATGATACCGAGGGCCACTCTCCTCATTTTTACTTTAAGGTTGTTACGACGACGGGATAGGCCTTTGATCGCATTAGTGAGCGTATGCATACCTCTGCGTGATTCGGAGCCATTGCTTAATTTACAACCGGAGGTTAGTCGTCCAAGGGCGGGAGAAGAACAAATGGTTAAGTGACTCGAAGTTTGGTCACAAAGAAGGCATACGTCACTAGTGGGTAGAAAACGGAGACGGTTCTTAGTTTTTAAGGCACTCGCTAGCAGAAAGCCGGAGAATAAGGGAATGCCAAGGCATGGACCATGACTCCTAGATCACCCTACCCTAGCACACTCGGTGCCCCAACTAGCCTAAGCCGTGTATATGCAATATTAGAGAAGCTTCCCTCTCCCGAGATCCACCTAGCAAGCTCACGTATAGTTGCATCTTTACTCTCATATTTCATAACAAGCAAGTCTTTCACATCGAGAATAGCTTTCCACAACGGCACGACATTGCGATGGGCGACAGCATCCCACACTCGATAGCCTTGCAAGTAGAAATGGTGGATCCAACGAATCCAAATAGAGTCGGCCTTAAGGTATATGTCCCGCAGCCTTTTAACTAGAAAACTTTGGTTTTTCACTTTGATATCAAAGACTCGAGGCCACCTTTTGATTTAGGGGAACATAGGCTCTTCCAAGCCACCAAAGCCGAAGAGCACCTATTGACATCTCTCGTCCATAAAAAGTTCGACACATGCCGGTGATGCGTGCAATAACCACGAGCAGGCATAGAAAACATAGCGAGCTAGAATTGTATCATGTCGAAGAGGACGGATCCGAGGAGTTCCGACCTACCCGCATAGGATAGATGTTTTCCCATCTAGCTCCGGATCGTGGATTCAAGACTATGTAACAAAGGGGCAAACCGGCTAGTAGGCAAGCGATGAGGGCTTAGGGGGACCCCTAGGTATTTGAAGGGGAAAGAACCTTCACAAAACCCAATTTCTTGAAGGATGGAGTCTCTCAAGTCGCTTCTAACCCCACCAAAGAAGATCGAGGACTTGGCCACATTGATGGCTAGGCCGGATACACTCCCAAAGATAAGCAGTGGCTGGTCGAATCTTTATGGAGGTAACATCTCCATGGCTAAGTAACAAGACATCATCCGCAAAAGCTAGGTGGGTGATGGCATGGAACCCGCATTGAGGGTGGAAGCGAAAGTTAGAATTCCTTGCGGTAACCTACGATAAGCGAGAGAAGTATTCCATGCGGACCACAAATAGGTAGGAAGAGAGGGGGTCACCATGCCTAACACCCGCTTTCCCGAAAAGAACCCAAACAGGCCCCGTTGACCGAAATGGAGTAGGAAGCCGATTCAACACATGTCATAATCCAACCAACAAATATGTTCGGGAAACCTAATTGTAATAAAAGCCGTTTCAGAAACCCCACCGCACAAAGTCAAAGGTCTTACGGAAATCAATCCTCATTAGACACCTCGAAGAAGATCATTTCGACCATACATTCGAAGTAACTCCTGGACCAAGCGAGATATTTTCCGACATTTTTCAACCCCCGGGTAGGCATTCCGCATAGGACTAACTTTATCCATCAAAGCCAAGGATAGCCGGGAGGAAATGATCTTGGTAATCACCTTATAAATGACATTACAGACAATAGATTGGCCTATAGTCATTAGGCAAGGATGCATTGGCCATTTTTGGGACTAAAGCTACAACAGAGTGGCCAACTTGTTTGAGGAGTCGCCTGCATTCAAAAAATTCTTCAATCGCCGCACAAAAATCTCGCTCGGTAATTTCCCAAGTCTCGTTTAAAGAAGAAGGAGGAATACCCATCGGGGCCAAGTGCTTTATCATTGTCTATGCTAAATAGTGTCTTCCGGATGAGATCCACCGTGATCGGGGAAAGAAGCCGATCATGGTCGGTCGTTGGTAATCGAGGCCCACTAGCAACAATTTGCGGGTCAAGGGGCACCGTAGCTTTGGTGGTACCTAAGAGGTTGCTATAATAGGAAACAAACTCCTCTCCTACTTTTGCAATAGAGGTAGTGAGTTGCCCATCTCCCCGTTGAAGTGCGACAATATAGTTGGCTTTGTGCTTCGATTCATAAGGCGATGAAAGAAACTAGTGCCTTTGTCACAATCCTTAAGGAACTTGCACTTTAATTTCCGACCAAAGAACATCTTTTCGCAGGCTTTGAGGTTAACCAAATGGAGCCGGAGCATTTTTTCCATGTGACAAAGCTCCAAATTATCTCTATCCGAGTGAAGCTCGACTTGTAGTGCGACTAAATCGTATTCGACCTCAGCCACCCTTTGGGAGATATGGCCGAAATGGAGTTTGTTCGGCTTCATAAGAGGTTCCTTGAGATATTTCAATTTGCAAAAAAGGACATACATTGGGGTGCCACTAATTCTAGTTTCCCAACTATCGACCACGCTTCTTAGAAAATCACCGTGGGCGACCCACATATTGAAGAATTTGAAGCTACGAGTTTCGAAAGGAACATGAGAGCCCAAGTGTACCAATACCGGAGAATGATCCGAAAAAGCACTCGGAGGACCAAAATGAACATGGGTGGGCTTCCCGGAAGAAGACCAAAAAGGGTTAGCCGTAACTTTATCGATTTTTGTCCAAACATCGGCCCCATGCCAAGTAAAATGGCTCCCCGTATAGTTAAGGTCCGTTAGCCTAAGATTAGAGCAACAACTTCTAAAGTCTCGCGGTTTCATAGTTGGAGACAAGCAGTACTCCTATGCTTATCGACTCGTGATAGAATAGAATTAAAGTCCCCGGAATAATCCAAGGGCGGTTCGATCGCCACCGACGAAGATCGACCCACAACCCTCTTCTAGCGGTAACGAAGTGTAACCCATAGACAAAAGTGACATTAAAAGGCAATCACTGTACAAGGTCGGTGACCCTAACATTAAGACCTTGAATAGAAACATTCAACATATTAACTCGTTATGGTGCTCAAATTCCAAAAAGTGCAATGCGGGCATTTGTTGCTACCGTAGCATTGGACATGAAGCTCCATTGCTTGAGTCTAAGCCGATGCATATTGACAAGCTTAGCGGAACCGAGTTTTGTTTCAACGAAGGCACACACATCAACCTTCTTTTTCTTCATGAGACCCACTCGCCTCATGTTGTTTTAGAGGGCTATTAAGTCCTCCGATATTCCAGCTATAGATAATCATGGACGAGCGAAAGAGGCCGAGCCTCTTCGACCCTTACTTCGCCCTTTATTACCACTCTGTCGGCAGCCTACCTAGGTGAAGTGTCTTTTGTCGTCCGCTCTTCTTGTCCGATCGGGAGGTCCAAAGTGGTGTCCCCAAGGGAAGCTAGAACATTAAGGCATTCGGCTTCCTTGTCGAGACAGCCCCGTGATGGGAGGCCTAGACGTGCCACTATCTTGTCTATCGGGAGAGCCATTTCTACAAGTACCCCGATCCGTCCCGCCCCTAGCATGATGGCCCCGTCGTCCGGCCCGGTCAATAATGTGGCCGCTTAGCCCACCCGTATCCCCGTTACCGCAACCTCGCCAACCTAGACCGAACCTCAATCCGCTCGGTGTTAGAAGGGGGCGCCGGACTCCGTGGCGAATCAACCATAACATGTTTACCATTATCGACGAGTTCGGCATGAGTGTGTTTTGCACTTCATTTTCACCCACTCGGTAGCTTCTAGTAGCATGGGATCATGAGGTGAGTGGATCGTGGCCGAGCACACCATGGTAAATTCACCCGCCGCCGGAAAACACTAGTTCCGGCCTACTCGCCAGCAGCATCACCGCCATTGGTGGGTTCCTTACTTGAATCCGAGGGAGCCCGATTTTTGCATGCTACCGTGGAATGCCCAAGTATACGGCAATTTTTGCAATGAATGGGCGAGTCTCATAAACCACTCGGCCGTAAGAGGGTGGTATTATTCGGTAATAGGATGCCGACCATCCGGGGGAGAGATTCCATAATATTCGGCTCAACAAGGACTCGAGCATAGGAAAGTCTATCCATGGAAGCGAGTTAAACAATCACATTAGAGGGGCTTACCTAACAAACTAGTAATCTTTGACAAACACACAACGGACCAATATTTGAGTGGCAAGATTGGGAAGCTTGACCCAAAGAGGGATAGTAGCCATCTCGGAGGTGGAAAAATCAAAGTATTCCGACATTGGTCGCAAAATTAAAGCTCGCCCATAAATCAAATATGGTCCTTTATTAAGCACCAAAACCTTATCTTCCTCTCGATTTGAATTTATAAATAAGCCGACCGATTCATGTACTATTAAAGAAGCCTCACAATGCCAAGTATCCTTGATAATTCCATTGAGGGTTTTAAATCTTGGATACTTACCAAGCAACATATCCCACAAGGCATGATTTCCATAACTCACATTTGGTATCGGCAGCTTTCAAATTGCATTATTTGGATTTAGTAATAGTTGAAAAATGTGATAGTTTAGGGCATAAGCTCGAGTTACGATTACTTATAAACAAATCCCGCCACTTGCCCGCTGTGGAAGGGATTGACCTAGCTACCTCTCGTCGTGGATTCATCGCAATCCGCGAGCCCATGCACAGCCATCGCTGGAGCCGGCGATGGAGAAGGGGCCGGCTCGACTTTTGCAAGGAAATTAGGGTTAGGGTGTCGTAGAGGATGGCAATGTAGCCGGGTGTCGGCAGTAATTTGGCAAGTGTCGGCAGCCTTCCCC